ACTATACCATGAGAGGTGATATGCTCCAGCGTTGAATCACACCGGACTGCAGCCTTAAGTAGATGGAGAGGCTCATCAGGCTGATGGCCGCCAGGTGTTGGTAATCAGCGGCCATCAGCAAGGCAGGCTGCAGGTGGTGGGACCCTTACAGTACCCCCCCTCAAGAATCGCCACCTGGCGACCTGAGGCGCTTCTCGGGGTGGTCTGCAAAAAAACTAGAAATGAGAATGGGATCAAGGATGAAGGACCTGGGGATCCATGACCTCTCCTCAGGACCGTACCCCTCCCAATCGACCAGGTATTGGAAACCCCTACCCCTGCGTCGCACGTCCAAGATGGAACGAACAGTGAACGCAGGGTGGTTGTCGATCAGGCGGGGTGGTGGAGGGAGGTCAGATGGGGGACACAAGGGACTGAGGGAGACGGGCTTGACCTGGGAGACGTGGAAGGTCGGGTGAATCCGCATGGCCCTGGGGAGTTGGAGACGGACCGCAGAGGGGTTGATAATGCGGGTGATGGGGAAGGGGCCAATGAAGCAGGGGGCAGCTTTCTGGGAGTGTCCCGCAGCTTGATGTCCCTGGTAGACAACCAAACTTGCTGGCTGACTTGGTAGGCGGGTGTCGCTGAACGATGACGGTCTGCGAACCGTTTAGCCTGGGCTGCGGTCCTAAAGAGGGCCACCTTGGCCTGGCGCCAGATGCGACGACACCGCCGGAAGTGGTGCTGCACAGACGGAACCATGCAGTCGGATTCATAATTAGGGAAAAGAGGAGGATGGTACCCAAGGGAGGCCTCGAAGGGGGACATGCCGGTAGCAGAGGAACGGTGGGAGTTGTGGGCGTACTCCACCCTAACCAGATTTTGACTCCACGATGAGAGATTGGACTCGACCAGGCAACGCAGAATGGACTCCAACTCCTGATTGTAGCGCTCAGCTTGTCCGTTAGCCTGAGGATGGTAGCCGGAGGTAAGGCTAACGGACGCCCCGAGCGACTTACAAAAGGAGTGCCACACCTGGGAGACAAACCGCGGGCCTCGGTCCGAGACGATGTCAGACGGGATACCGTGGAGCCTGAAAACGTGGAGGGTGAGAAGGTGGGCTGTTGAACGGTGGCGGTGAGAGGCCAAGAGAGGGAGCCAACAATACACGAGGATGGGATGATAGGATTAGAGATCTCGGGCGAATCGGGAGGAGCAAACTGCATGGAAAGGGCATCAGGCTTAATGTTCTTTGAGCCTGGGCGAAAAGTCAAAACAAAATTAAAGCGATTAAAGAAAAGCGACCAACGGGCCTGACGGGGGTCAGACGCTTGGCGTTCCTCAGATAAATTAAATTTTTATGGTCTGTCCAGATCAAAAAATGTGTCTCAGTGCCTTCTAACCAGTGCCTCCATTCCTCTAATGCGAGCTTGACTGCCAAAAGCTCGTGGTTGCCCACGTTGTAGTTGCGTTCTGCTTGAGAGAGACGCCGAGAGAAGAAGGCGCAGGGATGGACCTTATTGTCGTGAGGAGATCACTGGGAAAGGACCGCTCCTACCCCAGTGTCGGAGGCGTCCACCTCCAAGATGAAATGGTGCATAGGGTCCGGATGGCAAAGGATGGGCGCAGAGGAAAAGAGACTTGAGTCTCGTGAAGGCGGTCTCGGCCTCTGGGGTCCAATGAAAGGCACGGGCAGTAGAGGTGAGCTGAGACAGGGGGGCGGCGACACGGCTGTAATTTTTAATAAATCGCCGATAAAAATTTGCAATGCCCAGGAAGCGTTGTAACTGCTTCCTGGACTCGGGGGTCGGCCAGTCGACAACCGCCCTGGTCTTCTCTGGATCGGTTCGGCAACGACCTCCCTCAAAGATGAAACCAAGGAATGAGACAGTGGAGGTGTTAAACTCACACTTCTCTGCTTTGACAAATAACTGGTTCTCCAGCAGCCGCTAGAGGACCGTGCGAACATGGGCCATGTGTTGAGTGGGGTCGCGGGAATAAATAAGGATGTCGTCAAGGTATACAAACACAAAATTACCAATAAAATCGTGCAAACATCATTAACAAGCACCTGAAAAACAGCGGGGGCATTGGTCAACCCAAAAGGCATAACTAAGTACTCGAAATGGCCCAAGGGGGTGCGAAAAGCTGTCTTCCACTCGTCGCCCTCTTTAATACGGACAAGGTGGTACGCGTTTCGCAAATAGAGTTTGGAAAAATAAGAGGCCGACTATAATTGTTCTTGTAAAGAATCAATGAGAGGAAGAGGATATTTATTTTTAATAGTTATATTGTTCAGACTGCGAT